TAAAATACAATCACCGAAATACAATATATCATTACCATATATTGCTTGTTTAATCTCCATAATTCCAAAGAAGACATATCACCTTGAAAAAGCACGAATGTCTATTTATGCTGCAAAGGATAAAAGTCAAAATATTGTAAAACCACTCACTTCTTACTCAGCTGTGAACTGGTTAAAATGTCTTGTGTTGCTTCTTACATAACGGATAGGCAAAACATTTATAGAATTCACTTGCATGAATTAGTCTTTTTTATATTCATATACTATTGGTTTCGTAAAATATTGCTACATGCGTAGGTGTCTGCAAGAAACACCAGCGTTGTGCTATTGTGGTACAAGCTCCATCCTTTTCATACATATGTGCAATGTCACAATGCATATAAAAAAGGGGTGGAGCTTGCACAGCACAATGCTGCCTCCTGGCACATGCTTATACTGATAACGCACCATTTACCAAGGAGTTAGTGATAAGAACCTTACCTGGAAAATCACAGGCTCGCATTCTCAAAAACAATGCATATTCAGGTATATGAAGGCACTTTCCTAATCTAGCTTAAAAAACCTTTTATTTTTACCGAAATACTGTATGGTTCAGGTCAAACATAACTCTTGACTTTGTAGGCCTAAAATGCTGGAAAAAGGGAAAGTGTTCTGATGAAGATTTTTTTTTAATTATTATTATATTCTGATTAAGCATGTGTAAGAAAGGAGGTGGGGGAAGAGGCAAGGGGAAAAAAACAAAAACAAAGTGAATAACCAGGGAATTTACAAGCATCATGGAATTAGATAAAAATTTTCAAGATGTCATGAGTTTTAAATAATTGAATATATTATATTGTTTTAAAAACTACTGGTCACTGTTAAAATCCAAGGAATATATTATGATCAACAGCAATAATCAGGACAGTATAAAAATAAGATTAAAAATTACAGTAATTTCTGCCCAAGCAGTTAAAAATCTATCCTCATATACAGATCACTGAGTATTAGAATATTAAGACCTTATGATAAGAAAAACAGATCCAAATGTGATACAATCCCATTTATAGAATTACAATCCTACCCCTAACTCCAACCCATAAAGTCTCTGACTAACTGGGTTCCTATTCTTTGTTTTCTGATGTACCTAAATGTTACCCACTTAGGAATTTAAGGGAACTGGCAGTCTTACCCACAGGAATTTTGGGGCAAAAGCATTTTATGAGCTACTTCCATGCTTAGGGTTAGGGTTAGGGTTAGGGTTAAAAAATGGATGAAAAAAATGTTTTAAGTGAATACCAACAATAAATGCAGTAACCTCAAGGAATATGATCTAGTGGATGAAAAGAACCAAAGATGGTCCTGTTATATGACAGGACAATTCATTGCTTGGTATCCCTATATCTTCCAGATTTCTAGTTCTTCTTTAAAAATGTGGGAACAGGGTACATTCCACCCTAGAATGTTTTTGAGTAACCCTCCATATATTCTTACTCTTGACTGCATTTCTGTGAATCAAACCAGAATACCAAAAAAAACCCCCAAACCTACCTTGTTATGCTTCAACCACAGTATTTAAGTTAAAAAATAGTATTGTTTAGATATTTAGGCAGGGTTTGTAGCCAAATCAAGAAAATCCTAACACAAAAGAGTGTACATTGTTTCTGAGAACATGATCCCATGATTTTTAGGTAAGGATCTTATCACTAATCTCTTGATAAGTGGTTTGCTATCAATACAAACGTGTGCCAATGCTGAGAGACCAAAAGTCTTTTTTCGTTTCATAGAAATTAAAATAAGTCATAAGAGTAAATTCTGTAACTACTTTCATTATCCGTTGTGTAATAAAGAACACACAACAACGTCTTAAGCAATAGCAACTTATTATAAAACCATTCACTTTTATCTTTAGTAGCACAAATATACACTAGCACTTTTTCCAGGCTATATACCTATTTTAAAGTTATAGAGATTAATCAAGCAATACACTTGAATGTTTTTATAATGCTTTGGGTAACTTGTATATAATGGTTAGTACAACCATTTAATTAAATGTAATTGGAAAGCAACTGAAGTGTTCTGACCTATTTGTTATAGAAAAAACACAATGTTTTGTGTCTTTTATTTTTTATATTGCCCTTGAAAAGGGCATGCATCTGAAACACGTCAATCTGGATTAATAAAGTTTTCCTCTTCTGCACTTGGGACACTCTTCTCTTTGCTCATTGGCTTTCAGTAGCCTGCCTTCCCTTTCTTGTTTCTTTGGGCAACAAACAAGGGTTATTTTTAGGGAGCACCATGACAAAGAAGTAGGTTAAGACTACAATACAGATATTTGATTAAAATAATGAAGTTAATGTGGACAATCCCCATATATTTAGCCATTTCCTCTTTACATCCCTTAACAAATTACACTTTGGTGGAAACTTTTGGAAGGGTTTTGGAGCCACACTCAAAGCTGTCAGGAACCTCACGTAGGTTCTGGAGCCCCGATTGTTCAAAGGTCAAGTGGAAGAGACTGTAAAATCACTTTGGCTCTGTGAAAAAGTAAAAACAGTCATGAAGTAAATCATGAATCAGACTATTGTTACTCCACTCTGACCTGTTTTAATGGAAAATTGCCAAGGAGAATAACTTCATTGTGAACCTCTTTTTCAAACTGCTCAACGTAGGGCAGAATGTCTTCATCTTCAACTTCATCACAACGATCAGAGGTCTTACTGCAGCTGACAGGCCAGGCAGAATCCAAAGCATCTTTGCCATCTATCTCTTCAGCTTTCATTTCTAGGAACAAGAATATGGCTGACTCTCATTGTGTAATACAGGGTAGGTATTTGAGTGGGTTTGACAAACTACAAGATGTTCGGGGTAAGGCTGAAAGCGATATGAACATTACATACTGGCTTTAATTCCCCAGTATAATTATTTGTAGCACTTTACCGTTATTGCCTTATGTTCCTGTCATCTGACTCAACTTTCTAACCACTGGCATCAACAAGAGAAAGGGACAGAAGCATTTGGAAAGGAAACTCTGATGTTGCCAGTCCACTGCATCTCAGCAACTAAACAGAAGTCTCTGCTGCAAAAAGAGAATTATGCAAACTAAATGAACTGAGATATGAACTGAGGATATCTTGAAGAAGCTGTGTTACATACCAATAACTATTGGCATGTTAACAACTCTTCGTTGAAGTTTATAACCTATTGGCTCTTTACAGAGGGGTCTGCAGGGGAGGTCAAAAAAACAAGATGATATCCACATGATTAGAGCCCTGCCCCATTTTTATATGTGTTGCCCATGCAATGTACATTAAAAAAGGATAGGACTTTGTGCAGCCACAACTCCATCTTGACTTTTTTAATAGGAAGGAGCTATTTTCATGAGAACCAGCATAGTGGCAAAGATGCTGGCCTGGCACCATCAGGTCAAGTTCCCCCTCAGCCAAGGAAGTGTACTGGGTGACTCTCAGCTAGTCCTTCCCTCTTACCCCAACCTAACAGGCTTGTTGCAGGGGGAAATGAGTGCCCTCTACATTGCCTTGAGCTCCTAAAGGAAAGCTGGGATAGACATTGAAGTAATTAACTCACTAAATTAATAGTAATAATAATCATAATTAATAATCATAATTAATATTCACTATTTTTGGTGTTGGTTGCTGCCAAAGCATTTATCTGAGATCAATTTATCATATATAAAAAGAAACAATGTTTTACTAGAGTTACTTTTTTAAAGGAGAAAGTTACAGAATTATTAACTCCTTATACAGATTTTTGATCTCTGCTAAACATGAACTTAACAAGCTTTATGTTTTCAAAACAAAAAAATTATTACGTTGTACCAGGTAGAAGTGTTATGGAATGGGAGAGAAGTTTTTATTGACTGTAAATCAGAAGGTAATTTTTTTTGTAATAAATAAATATAATAAATTATTGGCTTTCAGATTAAAACAGATTAAGCTACATAATATTTTTGCTTTCCTATCTATAGGGGGACTCTTCTTTTTCTTTCTTTCTTTTTTAATTTCCTAGGGATAGTTTTCTTTTCTTTTCTTTTTGCTTTGTTTTTAGGTTGTTTAATATAGGATTATCCTTTCTTAGGTTTTCTTGGTTTTTTTTTTTTTCTCTTTAGCTCAAAATTTTTGTATAAATATACATTAGGCTAGGATTCTTTTTAAAGCTATATAGTTATTCTATATATAGTAGTAATATTGTTATATTGTTATAATGCCATTTTGTTCATACATAATGTCATAAACAATTAAGTTTTTTTTTTAAATGTTAACTAACGTTTTTCAAATTTAATAAAATTTTATATATAAAATAAGGCACATAATATAGCATCACCTACTGAAGTGTTCATAAGGGAGTATATGCATAGATAACAGATCTATTAAGTGGTGGTGGGGGGTTTCCCCTTTCTTCTGTTTCTAAATTGTATAGTTTCAATTTTTTATCAGTAGTAAGTGAGATAATCAGGTCAGTAATCTTGCTTTACCTCTTTCACTTCAAGAAATTATCACTACAATTAAATCTCTGACCAGGTGGTTGGTACAAAACTTGTATTGGGTTTTAATATCCTATTTTATTGGAAGTATACAGTGACACTTTTTGAAATAAATCCCTATTTATTTTGTTTTAATAAGCCAAATATTATCCAAGCTGGATAAAGATCCAAATACATGTTCCGATAAGAAACTTGTTTCTTTATTAAATGTGGCTGGTAAGATTTAACAGTTACTTTTGCCTATAGATTCAGTCTGTTCTTCCAAGTTTTGTGCACCCAACACAGGGTGGCTTTATATAGGGTGTTAAGCTTTTAACTATATCAGATATTTAACTGGTTTTTTTTTTTTTTTTGCTCTGACTTGAAGTAGGCAGAATCCATTATTTTCTTCTTTGATTCTAGGAGCCATAGGTTTTTGAGATGGGTTTGACTTTTTTGAATTTCCCCACAACATTATACTTTGAATTGATATGGTTTATTCAATCCCTAAATTATGTTTGATCATGCATGATTATTAATTCTTCTCCTTGATTAAATTTATGTTAAGGTACATGCCAAGGACACCATCCCTGTCCTATTTATTTTTTTAATCTGGATTTGGAATCGTTTGCCTGTATAATTAGAAATTCTGGAAAAGAATTGTTGTGAATATAGTTATCTCACGCATCCCATGAGTGAGACATAGCTCTTCATCACATACAGTGACAGATTACCCCAGTCCCTCCTCCTGCTGGAGAAAAAAAAGGGTTGGTCCTTTAAAAACAAAGTATAGGACTCAGCAGAAGTCCATGGACTGACATCAGAAACAGCAGAGTCTTCCATCTCTCCAGCAGCCTTTGATTAATATTTTGGAATCTTTAAAAAGTGAAGGATCCCAGGAAACCGAGACAGAAGATCAATTGCTTCAAGAGCATGCTCTTTCTATGGAAATAGGTAATACATTGAACCCAGAATTTGTGCTTGGTTGCTTATTTCCTTTTGCTACGTGGTGCTAAGTATTGAATTCTTTATTTCTGTGTACAAGTTATAGAATTGGGTATTTAATGTCCATTGAATTAGTTCTCTCTCTCTCTGTCTCCCTCCTTCCCTCCTTGTGAAAGGAGCAAGGGGAGAAGAGTTGAGCAATATCATGAATTTTAGGGGAGTTGTTCTGTTTTCAGTGTAATTTTCCAGGCATTTTTAAACTTCTTTATAATTATTATTAACACTGATGCTACACAATACTTTCAGTACTGTTTACATACCTTTTCTTCTGGAAAGAGGAAGAAAATACTGTTTTAAAACGCCAATTCCATTTTGACTTCTGCTTTTAAACACTACACTGAATAATTCATCTACTTAAACTATTTTAAATAGAGTTAAGTTGAAATTTTATTTTTTCTGTTATGCTTTGAATTCCATGGGCTCTGATTTCCCAATTTTTATCTATTATACTAATTTTGGTTTACTGTCATACACTAATGGTCATCAGTTCATGATTGCATCAATATCTGCAAGATACGATTTGCTTTCATGAGTGATATAACACCACAGGCAGAACTTCCATGGTATTTTATTCACAAACTTCAGCAAGTAATTCACACTTCAACTTCTAGTTATCAAGTCTAGTTATCTAGGCAGAATAATTGTTAAATGCAACCTTCTCAACTGAGTACCCTCTAGAAATGTTGGACATAATGGCTGGCAATCATAAAAGCTGTAACCCAAATAATTGGAGGGCATCCATTTAGGAAGGCTGATATAAAGAAATCTAATTATGGATAAATATTTAGTGAGCCAGCTCTTAGTCATTGCCTTTATATTAATGAAACAAATATGCATGCTTCATCTTCTGAATGAAAATTTTATTATAATAAATTTACCATGTGACACCACCATTTTTTTTTCTTCATCTAGAAACCGCACCAGTTTGTCATACAGGAATCTCTCATCCAATTTGACAAGTGCTAAAAGAAGTAAGTAAAATTAGATAGATTTGGATAATTCAGAGATCTAAAATTCTTAGGAAGCTATATAATAAAGCATTTAAATAGGGGGAATTGACCATTAAGTGCTAGAAGAATTGGACGGCTGTAGTATTTGCAGAAAATAACTTACAAGGAAGGGAAATGGAGGAAAACATAACTGCATTAAAAAAAATTAGTAAATGCATAACTAGAGATCATGAGTATGAAACAAGGGGACATAGCTACTTTGAAGCAGTAGCCAAATGATGATTTACAACCCTGTGTTTCTTGCATTCAGAGAATGATAGTCTTGCTTCTTTGCTTTAGAAACTATCCTCATACTAAGATCAAAATCTTATTTAGCTTTTTGCTGTTTATTTCAGATTCTTTAAATTCTTAAGCTTATGATTCAAATTTTCTTTCATTCAGTATTGAAAGCAGACTCACCCAGAATTTTCAAACTTGTCATTCCAAAGCTCTTTAATAGCTTACAAACAGTTAATGACCAATTTCCAAAACTTTTTGCTGTTTATTTCAGATTCTTTAAATTCTTAAGCTTATGATTCAAATTTTCTTTCAGTATTGAAAGCAGACTCACCCAGAATTTTCAAACTTGTCATTCCAAAGCTCTTTAATAGCTTACAAACAGTTAATGACCAATTTCCAAAAGTGAATAGAAAGTGAGGTTTGCGAACCTAGTGTCCTTTAAAAGTCTTCACTGGTTGTGAGCAAGATGGCTAATCCTGTCTCCTG